TACTAATTTGTACACCAGACAATATATTATGAGTCATATGCTATGCATATTTTTGTTTGCATCACGTGACTTGTCTTAGAGAAGTGAAAGTCTAAAGCAACACTAACCAGCATACTCGTACAAGTTCATACTACACAGCACATAAAGTTTCCGCCAAATGGCAATCGATCGCGCAATGTCCCCTGTTCGCGCCGCCAGTGCTGATGTACCTCGGTACGCCGCTGCCCCGAGCGGCGGTGTACTGCCTGGGGCGCCGCCTGCCGGGGTCGGCGCCGCCTGCTCGCCTCGCGAGTTAAGACAGTTACCGTCTCGCAGCGCTCGTGTCCGGTCTGAATCACCGTGGTCTGATTGAAGGGAGCGCGAGCAGATAGAACACGTAAGACTTGAATAAGACCTTGGACCGGGACATTCTCGTACGACGGCTCAAGGAGCGCTCGGTAGCAGGATTTTTATACGCAAAGGTATTTTGTGCCGCTTGCCGCCCACGGCTTGGTGTTACCTACGGCGGCGGATGCCGCCCAGCATCCGGTGACTGCAACGCTGGGCGTCGGCTTACTACGATATTTTGATCGAACTCGCGCCTCGCGAATTTAAGTTTTTGGGAAGAACGTTTGCTATGCTGTGTAGTTTTGGACTGTTGTGCCAAAAATGTGTTTGTCTCATTCAGTTTTGTTAATGATGATACACCCTAGTGTATATGCAAACAAATTCGAGCAAATAGGCACCACGCATCACGCTTCAGTCGAACATGCAAGCGAGTTAAAGTAAACAGGCATCACACATCGCGCACTAATAATACATGCAAGCGATTTCAATTGAACGGGCATCGCACATCACGCGTCAGGCATCACTTCCACATGTAAACGATTTTTAGGTAGCACCCATCACACATAGAGGCACATATCACGTTCGCATAATTGACCATGATAAGCCCTGTATGTTAAGATTTTGTCGCCGACTTTGTATAAGAATAGATTCACTTATTTTCCTGTCTGGGCGGTCCTGTGCTCTGTAGATGACTTTGAGCTCTAAAAGAGGCATAGGGTACATACTTCCTTCGATTTCAGCCTGAGTAGGACGAATAGGACGCATGGACTCCCCGACAGAGTCAATGTGTTTCACCCTTGCCATGTGTTTCACACAGTTTACACTTGATTTTGTAAACCACGTTTTTTTGCGTGCAAACCCCTTGAACTCCAGAACCGCATAAGCATAAACATAAGCATAAGTTATGTTTTATGCAGAACTGCATAAAGAGCTTTGCTTGACGGAGCTATTTATCAAGCCCACCAAATCTGGTATCATTCTGCGCTGCAAATCTGCGCATCCAACTTCCACTAAGCACAACATAATTCGTAACATGCTCCATAGGGCTCTAAACAACTCATCAAGTAGTGAAAAGGAAAGAAAGAGCATAAACAAAAGATGGGCTTCGCTGTTGGGCAACGGATTTTCTTCGCAACTTTTAGGTAGAATGTTGGAAGACGTAAAAAAGTCTAGAGCGCGTGAGGGGATGGGTGATAGGAGGCGGGAACACGGCCTGCGGGAGGACGGATTCTCAACGTTACCTTACACAGATGAGCATTTGCTTTGGAAAATTAAACACATTGTTAAAAAATGACAACTGCGGGTACGCATAACTTGGAAAAACGGCAATAAGCTTAAAACGTCTCTGGCGAAATCTCCCATATTGAAGCCTAAATGCCCGCGTGGCAACAGATGTCATTTATGCATTTCTGGGTTTCAAGGGATTTGCACGCAAAAAACATAGTTTACTAAATCAAGTGTAAACTGTGTGAAAAACAGAGAGAGAGGGAGGGCATGGAATGGGATAGTCTATGTAGTAGAATCCATGCGCCCTATTCGGTCAAGATATGATAAACAACTGCGAGACGCTAAAAATCCGGGAATACCTCTTTGGGTGACCTTTTTTGGTAAAACACGCTCAGGCTGAAATCGAGGGAGGCATGAGCCCTATGCCTCTTTTAGACCTCAAAGTCATCTACAGATCATAGAACCGCCCAGACAGGAATATAAGTGAATCTATTCTTATAAAAAGTCTGCGACCAAATCTGAATGTACAGGGCTCATCACGGTCGATTAGGCGAACGTGGTATGTGCCTCTATGCATGATGTGTGCTAGCTTAAAATCGTTAACATGTGTAAGTGATGCCTGACGCGATGTGTGATGCCTGTTCAATTGAAATTGTTTACATGTGTAATTGGCGCGTGATGTGCGATGCCTGTTTACTTCAACTCGCTTGCGTGTTCGAATGAAGCGTGATGCGTGATGCCTATCTGCTCGCATTTGTTTGCATATACACGTAAGCCCGGGCATTCTAACTCTTAAGCACTGTATCTTGGCAATGGCTGGCAATCGCTCTTTCTTTAATCCTCTGAATGTTTGTGTCGTGTAAAACTGTGGCTTGCTCTTCCCCAAAAAACTGAAAAATTGCGTTGGATCATCGGCAAGCAATTTTGAATCCACTTCTGCTATTATTTCGAGAAAGGCATATTGCCAAAACATCAATCTAACTATATATCCATTATCCTGGCTTATCCCAGGAATAAGGCTAATACTACTGTCTATCCGGTAAATTTCTACCTAGATCGGATCATCCCGCCGACTTACCCTTAACTGTCAATGTCCCTTGTCGCTGAGGACAGGGTGCTGGATCGTGGCACCGCCAGCAAAATAAGTAAGGTCAAAAATTAAACTTTAAGCGGGTACTTTTGACACTGCAATGCGAATGCCACTTCCAAAGTCACAGTGCATTGAAAGTCCCCGCCCACCTCTTATTGGTCTCGTCGCAACGATTGGAACATGCCCTTGCAGCCAAATGAATCTTCATGTCTAACTTCTTTCCGTATATTATACTGTCCTGTTCCGGACGCTGAGAGTCTGCTGTTAAAAACAGCCCATCGGCCGACCGGCCGGGCCACAGGAAATACACTGATTTGTCGCCGACCCGTCGCCGAGCCCGCCAACCAACTAAAAATCATAGGATATTTTTGTCGCCGGGTTGGGATGAAACCTAGAAAAGATGACATGGTGCCATAGAGCACGGCAAAGAGTATTTACGGAAGCGTTCGCTGGTGTTCGACCAAATGTATTACCATGGAGGCTGTGTATGTAGACCTCATGTCATGTTTTGCATAGTGTGCTGTATTTTTCATCTTGGCTGTCATCAAACTTTGCTGTCTAAAAACATTTTTGGCACCTAGCTTAGCGTGAGTATGTACATTTTTGTCGCCGACTTTATCCACCAAGTCGGCAGGTTTTACCATCCCCGTACACATGGTGCACAGCCCGGTACTGACCTACACTCAGTACTCGCCCCATCCGTATTCATAGGTGTGCATGGTACACCATGGTCTTTGAGGCTAGCGGCCTGACCTGAGTGTGTACAGGCGGCCTGGAAGCGTCCTCTAACTGAATTATTCACCTAAGTAACATACATTCCTCAGCACCAGGTTTTCGAAAAGTTAGTCAAGGGCACCATAGATGTTCAAATTTTGGTGGTTGTTCCACCAATGTGCACATCGCATAAATAAAACGCTATACCCCTCGCCCATCAAGCACTCTATACATATCGGTACGTCCGCCTAACGCGCGCCCCGCGTTTTTTCAGGTCGCATCCGGTGTTGCTAAATCGAAATTTTGTCACGGAATCGGCATCCTCGATCCACATCTTTCTGACATCATGACACTTAAGCCAATGTAGTGTCCCAGAACTTGGAAAGAATACTTGATATTCCAAATACTTGCATAAAACAACAACGCGATTTCTTTTGATCACTAGTTTTTTTACAAATGACGGTCAGATAGCCGAAAAAACCTAGGGTGGAGGTTTGGATGGTACTTTAGCACAGCGGTGACGAATGGACAGTAGACACATCCTCCAGTTACATTGAAAAGTTAGGACAAAAACATTACTTAAACGGTTGTTTTTATGCAACGTGATCTATCATTTTGATAAAATGTTGGCATTTCAGCTGAAGTTGGCTTTAGTTGAGTCATGTAAGCCGCAGACAGCAGCTTTCAAACGAGCCCCTACTCACCTGAAAAAATGGCGTCGGAAACCACCAAAGTGCGTCTTGTAAGGGGAAAAGAAAATGTACAAATAAAAGCACGATGATTTTGACTCAAATTTTATGCGCTTCATGACCAAACTTCAGGGTGTCGTTTCATACGCATACGAACTTCTTCCGCTTTTGCTGACAGACTAAAGCGAGGGTGAGGTGTTTATGTGACAATGAGAGTGAGGGTTTGCTTGATGTGAACTTTCAACCGGGAACATGAAAAGGCCAGTTTGTTCCAGTACCTGAAACTAGCCCAGCTCTCTCCTCTCTCTCTCTCTCTCTTCTCTCTCTCTCTCCTCTCTCTCTCTCTCTCTCTCTCTCTATCTCTCTCTCTCTATCTCTCTCTCTCTCTCGCTCTCGCTCTCTCTCTCTATCTATCTCGCACTCGCACTCGCACTCGCACTCGCACTCGCACTCGCACTCGCACTCGCACTCGCACTCGCACTCGCACTCGCACTCGCACTCGCACTCGCACTCACACTCACACTCACACTCACACTCACACTCACACTCACACTCACACTCACACTCACGCTCACGCTCACGCTCACGCTCACGCTCACGCTCACGCTCACGCTCACGCTCACGCTCACGCTCACGCTCACGCTCACGCTCACACTCACACTCACACTCAACTCACACTCACTCCACTCACACTCACACTCACACTCACACTCACACTCACACTCACACTCACACTCACACTCTCTCACACTCACACTCACTCACACTCACACTCTCTCACACTCACACTCTCTCACACTCACACTCACACTCACACTCACACTCACTCACTGGCCGGTCGAAAAATGTCACTTGTAAAATAGTGGAACTTCTAGGGCTACATTATATGACGTCACCTTACGCACACCGATGGGGCACAAGAAACTTGCACAAGAAAGTTATGTTAGAGTTCTATCCGCTTTACAAACCTGCGAATACCTTATGTATCCAAATCCTCACAACGCCAGGTTTTTGCGATGAAAAGCTCGCGTAACTGCATGAAAAAAATTGTTGGGTCATTTGAAATCCGGTGATTTGCTGTTTTTCAGCGCAGCCACAAAATGTCTGCGCCATTAAAATACCATTTGCATATCAATAATTGTCGAGCCCAAAATGGAATCTGCTTTAATCTGCTGTGATTGAGAAGGGTCGCACATCAAGCCGCTCTGGAAAGTTCAAAGGAAATTAAAAGTCTTTCTTTAGAATTGAATAATTCATGGCTTCCCTTCGCGTCCGACGGAATTTCCGTCACAGTTTCCCTGCAAGAAGCAACAAAGATTTATCGTTCCCGCACGGATTAATGTTTCCATGTGCTCATACATCCAAGAGAAATGTGCGCACAAAGTTGTACCAGCTTGACACTTTTTACGACATGGCACAAAACGCACCTAGAAAAATGTCGCTTCACATGGTCATAAACATACCATAGTGCGTGAAATGTCGATGTTCATGCAGCGGTTGGCAGACAGCTGAATCGCTCCACCACGGCGATGGTGTGGGGGTCGTCGCAACAAACTGCGCTTAGCAGCGAACCTGTTTAGAAATCATACTGACAACCCATTGGGGGAAATCTTCACGGAACCAGCCCCAGGCGCCAGTCGGTCGCGCCTCCCCGTAACGGCAAACCAGCCCCAGGCGTCAGTCGGCCGGCCTCCCGTAACGGCAAACCAGCCCCAGACACCAGTCGGCTGCGCTCCCCGTAACGGCAAACCAGCCCCAGGCGTCAGTCGGCCGCGCCTCCCCGCAACGACGAACACGGAAACCAGCCCCAGGCGTCAGTCGGCCGCGCTTCCCCGTAACGGCAAACCAGCCCCAGGCGTCAGTCGGCCGCGCCTGCCCGTACGGCAAACCAGCCCCAGGCGCCAGTCGGTCGCGCCTCCCCGTAACGGCAAACCAGCCCCAGGCGTCAGTCGGCCGCGCCTCCCCGCAGCGACGAACACGGAAACCAGCCCCAGGCGTCAGTCGGCCGCGCTCCCCGTAACGGCAAACCAGCCCCAGGCGCCAGTCGGCTGCGCCTCCTCACACCGATAAACATGAGGGTATGTGCGCAATGCGGGGATGGCAGGGATTCGAATGAGGAGCATTAGAGCGTCAGGACTGCTGTGGTGCACCGAGCAATCTGTGATGGGTGGTCAATTGGTGGCTAATGCTTCAGTGATGCTGCTGAACAAATGATTGCCTGAATACAGATATCAAGCTCACGATTTTCTTGATATTATTTATTTGGTACGAAGTCGGTGGGTTATGCCGTTTTGAGCTATGTCGGCATCCATTCCAGGGCAGCTTGCTTGCACCATGTTTGAACGCGGCCGATCGATTCCTCGATATGCATTTTCAAACTGGATAGGTCGATGACATCGGGTGTAGCACTGTCCAAAACCTGGTTGTTGCCCGCGGTGGGTGGATGTGACGGTGTGAACGAAAGCTTGGTAAGACGACGACAAGATGACGAAGAGGATAAGGGCCACCCGGTCTCACTGTGTCGCTCCATGCGAAGCTGGGAAGGTCGTCTGTAGCGACGCAGGGCTGGCGGCCGTGAGGTCGTCCAGTCGCCACCGACCAGCTGCCCAAACCGCTGAAGAGCTGCGCACCCACTCCAGTGACATGCGTCACCACTGCAGCTTACTAACGACCGTGACGTCAGCTCTAGCGTGAGACGAAACGACTGCTCCCTCTGTTACGTTTTCGGAGGTTCACTCGCACCTCAAGAGACGGAAGTCGGCGCTGTACCGTGCAGCACATTGCCTCCCGGTACGCCGAAGCGTCTCCCTTCTTTTCCTGAAAGTGTTTTGGGTGTGTCGCTGAGAGACGGCACGCTGATTTACGGCGATGAAATATGTATTAAGTGGAAAAGGCTCCGCAGTTTTAGGGGTCCACGCCTCTGCATGCTGCCTACGTGTTGGCCGCGTAAAGGACCATTGCACGCGGCACGCGGCCCCAACCCTATCATTAAAGCTTGATGGGGCCGGGCTAAAGAGCCGAGCAATAGCCCACAATCGGCTTCAATCGATTTTGAGAGTATGTTCGAGTGACAGGCGTTTTCCGTGACATAGCAGTGCATGGAGAAAGCTATCAATCCAAAAAGATACCAAGGGCCTCTAGCCTTTCCACAAAAGACTAGAATCGACTAAACCGGTCACTAAACAGTTAGCGGCATGAAATGTCCTGAGCGAGTGACGAGAGCCATTGACCGAGACATTGCCTTGTCTGGTGTTTCACAAAGTTGTAGACCAGGCTACTGTCACTGGACTTTTTGAGGCGAGAGAACGCTTTCTGACCAGGTGGTCCTGGCTGATGTCGGCGGCGGTTCGTTCTTGCGCCGCTCGGCCAGCTCCCGCTCCCTCTTCGTGTCCGACACCTCTTGAAGATCAGCTGCAAGCGCTGGGTTGGCCAATTCTGTTGGACTTGATCACTCGCTCTGTTCCAATAAATTTCAATGCACTGCAATGTTTCTATTTGAATAGCCCATAGTTCTGGATGCTGTGTCCTTGGTTTGATCTGAAGTACATAATCAAATGTAGTCAGGCCAGCTGACTGCGGAACGCCACGCTTGCAAGGGAATGGTTTCTGACACAACCCGCATTCGGAACACCATTGCTTTCTTTGTCTCTTCCACTTGCAACCGTGACCATTGTTCGCGTTTCATCACGGCCAGGACAACAAAACTAGAAACCCCCCGCGAGGTATTATCCGGTCGCGATTACGCTAGTGCAGAGCAGAACATTCGGTGCCATGAAATCAGAACAACGCGCGTGAGCATCTGCCGCCTCCCGAGGTCACGCCACGGCCACTAGCACGACCTGCAGCTGCAGCGTGAGCAGCGGCAGTCAGGGGACCGGCAGCGGCAGCCGGCGGGCAGGCAGCGGCAGCCGGCGGGCAGGCAGCGGCAGCCGGCGGGCAGGCAGCGGCAGCCGGCGGGCAGGCAGCGGCAGCCGGCGGGCCGGCAGCGGCAGCGGCGGGCAGGCAGCGGCAGCCGGCGGGCGGCAGCGGCAGTAGCGGGCCGCCAGCGGCAGCCGGCGGCCGGCAGCGGCAGTCAGCGGAGCCGCCAGCGGCAGCCTGCGGGCCGGCAGCGACAGCCGGCACCAGAGGACCGCGTCACGCGCGGCGTCCCGGCGGCGCCCCACCCCGCACGGCACCGGCCGACCTTTGACCGGCTCGCACCCGCTGGTGCGTGATATTAGCATAATTGACTTGATCGTCGAGGGAAAATTTATTCCTAATGGATTGCCGAGTGGCTCTCCATGTCGGGCGATTTGGACGATGGCGCGGCTGGCCGCCTCACGTCTGCAGCACCCCTGCTCCCTTCCCTCCCCCCCCCCCGGCCTCCGGCCACTGACCTTCGACCCGAACCAGCCCCATCGTCGCGGACAGACCTCCGACACTGGAAAGACGCGCGAGAACTCAGCCAGCCGCCTGTCCCGCGTCAACCACTTACAACAAATGTCTGTATGGGACCATTTCACCCATTTCAGAAATTACGCTAGTAGTGGAACGCTCTATAGCGGCTGCAATTTTAATGCGGCCGATGTGTGACCACCAAACTTTGTCGGTGCCGTCATCTCTAAAGTAGCCCTGATGTGTTTGTAAACCGCAGAGCTACCTATTGTTAGTGATTACTGGTCGCCATGGCCAAGCAAAATAGCCCATCGCTGATGAATTGTTTAGTGTGTCGATCGCGTCTATGCATGCATTAGTATAGTGGGAATATTAATTTTTCAGCGGAAAGGATAAATCTAAGCTCCAAAACTCTGCAATGATCTGTTGAGCTTCCAAGGTTCTTTCGCGCACGCCGGTCATCTTGTTTGGCTGGATAGACATACGCCGCGTGATCGTCGTTACGCGGCAGCATGCAGTGCAGTAACAGACCCTTGTTAGGCTCAGTGACGGGTGTGCGCGACATCTCGTGTGCATGGCGCCGCTACTGTAACCACACGCCTGCGGTTGCAGCTGATCTTCAGGAAGGTGTCAGACGTGAAGAGGGAGCGGGAGCTGGCCGAGCGGCGCAAGAACGAACCGCCGCCCGACATCAGCCAGGACCACCTGGTCAGGAAGCTGTTCTCTCGCTTCAAAAAGTCCAGTGACAGTGGTCCGGGCGGCAGGTCGGTCTCAGCATATTGTTCAATCAATACAATGCTTCAGTCACCTCATAGCGGCACTGACATGCGTCCTGGAGGCTCACACCTTGGAAATGTGGGCTTCATCAAGCATATGATGATAGCGGTCGTGTTCTTAGTGGCGTTCTGCACAAAACTATATAGTAGAATATCACTGAAAATAGCCGGACAGGAATACTTAACACTCAGCCCCCAATTAGTTCCAACTACCAGGTTGTCGCTTGCCCAAAACATCTTGCGAGATTTTACGAAGCCCATTACTCTGCAGTGATACATTTAAGTTTAGCTGTCTCACGCCCCACAGTATGATTGTTATGATGCTGCCAAGACGCTGTGGATTGGGATTCCTCATGACGTAAACCTCATGACGCTGTGGATTGGGATTCTACCGCTTATGGCTCATGATAGGCTGTGAGAACGTGATATTTTATCCTTTAGATAATGTACCACTAAATTTGATTTTGTCAAAAGATCAAATCAATCAGAGCATGATACCCTTCAGTTTGTAACTTGCTTTGAATTTGCTGAATTCCTAATAACCTTGAATGTGCGATGGTCGACCCCATCTGTTACGCAGGTATTTACGCGCCGGTATGCCGAAAACAATATTATCAATTTCATTGGCACACACGCTGACATATCCAAACAATTGAAACCAATGCTTGTAACTGCTACATACACTCAGAACTATTCAAACATCAACAATTGAATCTTTTGAATCAAATTTGTTTGCTGTGCAAATGTGATCATTATGTGGTTTTAGTTCAGTAATGCTGAGCTACGCGGTCAGAAAAATTAATTGCAAAAGGAGCAAATAACTGTCTGAGAACTTCAGCATCAGAACAACCCTTCATGTTGCATAGGCTGATATGGCCGTTGTTTCCTAAAATCTAGCTAAATCCAGGTAGATCATCCTCACCATGTTATCATTTGTCAGAAACAATGCATTAGTTGAGCGGAGAGTCTGGTGGCACTTGAGCAGCGCATCGCAGTACCCGTCCTGGATTGCCACGTACGCCTCGGCACCAGACAGTCCAGCTGGCAACAGCCGGCCAGCAGAGCTCACCATCATCGGGCTGTAAGCCACAGGCACGTGGACTAGGGCTTTGTCCAAAAAGAAGCTTGACTTGGTGGTCACTTCCCAGGGACGTAGAGGCCGGTAAGACTGAGGCCGACAATGGCGGCGGCGGCGGCGGCGCCACCGTCGCCACCGCTAACAGTGGCCGGTGGCATTCTCACCACTATCAAGCTGCCCGGCGTCTCCGAGCAGCAGGAGGTCACGCAAGCGCGCCCGAAGCCGCTGGGGCGCGCTCGGCGGCAGCGGCGAGGCCGCCGAGGAGCGGCGCGACAAGAGCAAGGTCAAGTGGGGTCTCAAGCTGACCTCTTCGTCGGAGAGAAAGACGAGTGACCCACCGTCGCCGGCTGAGGGCGACACCTTGCAGCGTCGGCTGGCCACGCCCGAGTCGGGCCCGGCGGCGGTGGCAGCTAATGTCCCGTCAGCCGACCTCCAGCGGCTGCTGGCCAGCCTGGTGGACTTCAAGGCCGACCTGCATCTGGAGCTGCAGCGGCTGCACCAGCGGCTCGGCCGGCTGGAGACGACGCTTGCGGACGTGTCGCGACGTGTGCTGACCCGCTCGTCCAGCGAGGGTGCCGCCACGGACGTGTCCAGCGCGCCGGGTCTGGTCGTCTCCAGCGGCGACGACTCCCAGCTCGCGCGAGCCGTCGCCGGAGCCGCGCGACGGTGGCGCCGCGGCGCGGACGGAGCGTGGCGCCGCCGAGCGGACGAGCGCGCAGGCGAAGCGGCGCGGCGGGGAGGCAAGCCGGCGCACGGCGTCCCGGCTGCGCCGCCGCTCGTCCACCGCGCAGGCGGCCGAGCCGGACGGTGATGGCTCGTCGCTGCTTGCAAGCGGATGCTCGAGGACGAGATTGTGTCGCAGAAGAGCGTGGCGGCGCCGTACCGTGACGGCCGCCCTAGTTCGCCGGACGAGTACCTGTAGCGGCCAGTCCGGCCCGGCGCCGACGCCGCAGCCGTAGTCTTGTCGCCGCCCGCCTCCTTTTGCACTTTGTCCGGAGAGCGGGTCAAGCCATTTTGAATGGCTGCGGGAGCCAGCAACCCAGTGATGGCCCCACTTTAACGTGCGATTAAATGGCCTGGTAAGTGGCCGGGTGCATGAATATTGTTGTTATGCTGGAGTTCAGAAGTATACAGGTTTGTGTGTTTCAAGTGGTGTAAAGATATGTCCATAGAATGGAATGTAGCAATTTTTTGATCTTTTAACAATTTCTTTATTTTACCATTTAACCATTTTTTACCATTTAACAATTTCGTGAACAGGGCCAATATTTGTGGTGCTTTCCATTAGTCATGGTCGAAATTTGCAGTTTGTATTCGCCTCGTCACCTTTTCTTCTTCGTAGCCTGCGGTGAAACAGGATCCACGCTCTTTTAGTGCGCCCAAACAACAAAAATGACATGTTTTTTAAATCCAATGAATGCGTGTGCGGGACTGCAAAGTGTGTATTTGCACTATTCCATATGTATTGTCACATAATATCCCTTGGTTGTTATCGGTTTGAGACCTGTGCTTATCCTCTCCAGTCCGTTGAGAATCTGTTGCGCTTGCCTTTTGCAAACTACGACGGGAAATCAATACATATTTTGTAATCGAATGAAAATAAACCGATATTGAGCCGTGCAATTGCGCCGAGGTTTCTTTGCATTCTATGGCATGGAAACATTTACACTAGCCTTTCGAGCGTGTTGTGCGTCAACAATAGCCGTTTGATATCAGTGCAAGCTAGCAGAGAAAAAAAGAGCATCTGAAAATCAAGCAGGTGATGGCGACAAAATTTATCTGCTGGTTGACTGATGATATGCAACGAAAGACATCAGCTGGTATTCCTATTTGAGATGTTGCTTGAGGTAGCGTCGACCCTGCCCGCTGGTATTACTGGTGCCGTGTGTGGTGCATATCCCACAGTGCACTGCAATCTGCCCATTTCAGTTGTAAGCCACATGCAAAGCTGGAACACGGTTCAGAGCGTTGTATTTTATACACGGAATATCGATGTAATCGATTGTTTCGGTTCGATTTCGATTTCGGATATCGATTGTGTCATTCACTTTGTCCCTGTGAAAACCGGCGAACCACTTGTCGGTGGAAATGAGACTCGCCCACCACTCTTATCACTCATTTAGGGTTTTTTGTGACTAGATGAATGCTAGATTACAGAGAAAAAAAGGTTGGAGAGAAATTGCTAAAATCCACAGAGTCCTAGACATTTCACATCAGCACGAGCTTATCATTTTTTGCCATGAAGTCTCCATTTAGTGATGAAAGCAATAGGCGTTACATGACCAGGGCGGTCGGCGCGCCTTTAAGCCCAAATCATAATGATAATAATCATCGTCATCATGAAAGGGAACACGAAGCATTTCTACACAGCCTGTGTAGTTTTGACTCTACCACACAGATGTCCGCGGTCTCATCTCACCTGAAGTGTTGCAATGAGTATAGCTTGTCATCAGCGTTGCTGTACGTCGCGCAGTCCCTGGAGTATTGCGGGTGTCGGGATGCGATCTTGTCAGCTCACATGTGTCGCAAAGTACCACTGTTACTGTACGTCAGCGCAGTCCCTGAAGTATTGGGGGTGTCGGGATGCGATCTCGTCAGCCCACCTGTGTCGCAAAATACCATCGTTACGTCGTTACCATGCAGTGACGTAAGGTATGGCTCTTGATGGTTTCAGTTTTACGCTTCACTTGCCTGCCAATCCGCTATGTACGGATCTATGATTACAATCCGATGCGGTCGGTTGCACCCGCAGCAATGGATTATACTAATCAGTCCCAGGTCACTTTCCACGAGTGTACCGCATTGCCCAGCGAAAAATCAAACACATTTTGGGAAAGCGGTTGTTTTGCTGGTTTCCTCGAGTACCAGCATAGGCAAAAATTCGTTCATCTTGAGTTGGCTGCTCCAGTAGTGCACCTGTATATTACGTGCCACACCGATCAGGGTTATCGTTTTACAGGAAGAAAGGTGAATTGTTTTCGAGATGATAGGGGGCTTTTGTTCTTTAAGTCTGTCACTTACGCACAATGCCCGTGAGTGTCCTTTAAGGTTCTGAAGCATTAGTTACTTCGGTGCATTATAATATACTGGAATTCTAAGCATAGTTATGGCTTGATTCGCAAGTGATGTTACGTTCAATTGTGTCCATTGTATTTTTATAACTACATGGGCGCCTCTTGAACTGCACGCATACAAATTACGAGTGCGCTGGTCGCTAAAGCCCAGCATGTGACTCAAAATGTTTGGGGGCTTGATCACACAAAAGCTTCTGATTTAGCTGGTATGATCAGTGACAAAAACTGACACTTTTGCGAGCCAGTTGGTGACAGAATTGCGAAAGCAAAAACAAATTTCAACAGACAAGGCCATGTTACAACAGATTATCTCCGCTCGACGAAACTCAAAGCTTAGCATCGGTCTGCACTCGCTGACGTTTGCAGCGTGAGCACGTGCCAAAATGTTGACGTTTCACTGCATGAGGAAGTTGAGCTATACGATACTACCAAGCATAGTGGCTTTAATCAGGATAGTTTTTAGCAGGTGACAAAAACATACTACACATTATACTATGTCAGTGCTGACGTCACAGATCACTGGTGACATAACGCCTTTCCAATACCCGTCAGATCAGTGCTTTTTACAGACTTTTCAGCCAAGGTTCACTTCACATACCAAGCAGTATAAAAGACCAAATAACTAGGCTTATTACCAGCCGTGAGAATCGTGACTGGCCACGACATCTTGCGACGAACGTGATCAGCTTGCTACGCAGCGTTTTAGGCGTCGTGCCATTTGAGACCGATGGGCTTGATTGCTCGCCACGCGGTAATGCGTTGGGTTCAGTGCAAGGCTGTGGGCTACTGTTGGTGTTGTTCATGTCGTGAAAAGCTGAATGGCTAAAAAACGTAGGTTATCGTTAGTTTTAAGGCAATAGCGCTAAAAAGCCCTACATGGCTGCCGATCCAGGAGCCTTGTTGTTTGTGGACACATGAGCTCAGTGTCTGAAATTCGGTTTTGACTCTTGGGGGCGAGAACAAAACTTTTAAACTCATGGCTTGTAGTGAGGACAAAATAGCCCTGGTGAATTGGTATGGTATTCACAGCTGACACAAAAGAACATCCTTTGGCAGCAGATGACAGTAAACGCCATTCTCTAGCTGGTCTCAGTGATTGCCAAAAGATCATTACGGATTGGCTGCTTGCAATTCTTAAATTATCTGGCTTCATAAGTGAGTGCTTCCTTCCTAAGTCTATCATCACGCCTACTGTAGATTTTTGAAGCTAGTTGATAGAAAGTTGCAGATGAAGAAAGCAAGAAAAGAAAGCAAGTTGATACGAAGCTGTTTATATTGATAAGTCTATTGTAAAGGTGTGAGTCCCTATTAATGCTGACAAAAACCAATGTTTAAATGTTGTGCACTTGTCGAACCATTCCCTAGAGCACGTTTTAACAAATTTGTGATTGCCAATGACAAGAGAAGAAAAAGCAGCTCCTACAAAAAAAAAACTCGGAAGGCCACATAAATGGCGCGCTGGGAATAGCAGTCTTCAACGACAGAGCCGCTGTAAGTTATTTATCGGTTTTGACATTGTGTTTGTAGGACCTGAATAATGTTGTAGAAATTATTTATCGGCAAAACCTGGCTCAAATGAAAGGCAGATTTCAAAAACGTAAATAATCATATAAATACAAAACGAAAGGTCCTGCTCAACGTAGAACAAGAAACCCTGCTTTAGCTTTACACTCAAATCAAGATTTCGTGGCGACGCTCTGTAGATCGGTAGAAAAAAAATCATGTTTTCGTTTAGTGCCCCTTTTATGCATTTTAAGCGCGTGTACAGCTCGGATTTCTTGGTGGAGAATATGCCTTCTCTCCAATGCTGAATCCCCCCCAAGAGCCGGAGACTCGCGGAGTCGTGGATTTCCGCGCTCCCAAGCGGATGTTTTGGGATGGTGTTTGACGTCACCATTACACCCTCTAAACAACCTCCATTTTTGTTAGATTCAAACGGAAATTTGATAGAGGTACTAGTAAAAAGAAGCTAAAACTAATTTTTGATCAATACAGCTCAATTCACGCCATATTCAGGAATCAGTGTTGGCGTGACATCACAAAGTTTCGTATCAATTTTTATTGTGTTGCGCT